TAATAGTAGATGTCAGCACAGGTGGACTAATAGGGTAGTTTGGACTGCTTGTGGTTTTGCCCTTTTTTCTTGACCTACGACCTGTGTCCCTTTTGTTGTCTTTTTGTGTCAAAGGCTCTTCTTGGATAACCAGTATCTTGTCATCACTCAGATACCGCAGGAGTGAATTCTCAGAGTCAGTTGTTGGAGGGGAAAAAAAAGAAAGAAAAGAAATATTAGTGAGAGGAAACAAGCAGAGAACCATTTTGGCTGCATCTGCATTGTCAGCTTCGTTCATTCCCCACTTCATCTAAGGCTCTTCTGCAAACAAACTTATTTATACCAAGGTTCCGATCAAGAGCAAACTAAGTAAGTTGGCACAAAACCTAGGCACGGAAAAGATGGTGGCACATACCCAGGTCCTGGCATGACAGATAGTATGAAGCTAGTCCACAGGATATGGCTTGTGTAACAACAGAAAATATAAATAAAGCCAAAAGGTTTTAGATCACCACTTGGTACTATTAAACTGGAAAGAGTCATGTGAACGTCAAGTGAATCGTGGGGACTTGCACTGGCCTCAGTACCACATTGACTAACAACCCCTGCCATTTGAGGTGAAAGTGAGCATACACATAAAATATTTGTAACTTGTATCAATAAAGGGACATCTCTGCGACCATTCCAGAGACAAGGACTGTAATTTCAAGGAGCCTGACAAATTGGAATAATGGTCTTAAACAGATGTGCAGTATTCGTGGGCACAATTTCAAATTGGGAACTGGCCTGGCAACAAGTCTGAGGAAAGGAATCTGTCTGTAACAGTGAAATAGAAACAAAACATTAATCAACAGATTTGGAATAAATCAGAAAAGGCTTGTGCCTTAAATGAAATTTGTTTTCTCTTGGAATGGAAGATTACTGAAAAAAATAGTTTAAAATCCTGTATTAATTTTCAAGGGTATCATTCAATTTTGTCACAAGTGGCCAAGCTGCACTCCTCTCAGCTGCCCGCATTTTGTCTAAAAGACTCTGATAAAAATGGTATTCATTTAAGGATCTTTAGCAATTGACATAACAACCAACATGCTTGAATATTTGAAGAATACTCTTTTGAATTATATAATTGCTTTCTAACAGAGGAAAAAACAGAAAAAAAAAAAGAACTGTGCTACCACCATGCTTCTTCCATAGCTCATAATTCCCACTGGAATCAATAAAGCTATATGATTAGCGCTGGTCTGAACATTGGCAGATCAGCTGATTCTGGTTTCAAATATTCATTCATACTAATCAAAATGTGTCTCAAAGGACATGACTCCCTCTGTAACACCACTTACAGTTTTCTAGAACTGTGCAGATTAAGATCTGATTGTTATTAACATATATCTGAATCTTACAAGGTTTTTTTCCCTTGATGTTTATCTATCTTTATAATAGAATTAAATAGGGTAAATCCATCCTACTAATACAAACTTTTTAATTTTCAGAAACAGAAACACAAAAACTCAAGACACTAAACAGGCTCTTTCACATTCTTCGTGGCACTCGAGAAAATAGATTTAGCTCCTGTGATGATAAGTTCATGCTTCTTAAATAACAAAGAAAAAAAAATCTTGGAGAACAGCAGAGAAAAAAAAAAATACTCACCTCTGCTTCCCCTCTTGTACACGCTTTGTTCTTTGGACTCCCCTATCCAACTGTACTCGGTAGGCATAGAAACAGGCCTTAAATCTCCTGGAAACAATTCAAGATAAACCAATATAATTTTTGAAGACTAAAAATAAAAGGCTGTTGTCTAAGTACTGCCTATAAATTACAAGCATGACACGATCCTTCAGAGCAATCCTTTTGATCAGCACCTATACATTATTAAAGCTGCAGCATTCAGGATCAATTAACCATTATATATGATGGGTTCTCCTCTTCATTATACTGATCTGAAGGAAAGTACCACTTCATTGAAATTACTTGTAAATGTAAAGCAGATTACAGTTAATTTCAAACGCCTTAGAAAGAAAACATGGGGTGCAGTTTTATAACAACAACAACAACAACAAAGTATAAGATTCAGACATTAGGCTTTTAATTAATAGACTTTTATGGCACTAAGACTGTAAGATATCAATGTGCATTAGTTATTCCCTACTATGGTATCAGTAAAACATCAATAGCAGACCATGAAACGAGGAATACTACAAAACTATGCTATAAAGCATTAGCACTTTGGCCTTGTCAGTGTTTATTATCATCACAAAATACAGAAACACACCCTCTAGATTATTGGTTAAGTTCTATCTGACCCGTAAGGCAAAGATTCCTTTTTCTGTACGCCAGCTGACTAAACTTAGTGCGTTTCTTTAGCACTCAAGTAAACTTTCTTTTAAAGCAGTTTGCTACTGTTCTGTTTCTGGGACAGTTACAGAATTTAAATGTGAACAAGCTTTTCTGTTTCATTATCCATCTCCCCAGGTTGATTAGAGTGACAAAGTATTTTCTGTGGATTATTTGTATGCTGAGCTTTTTTGGCTACTAAAATGTTAGGAGGATTTAAGAACAAACAGGTGTATGACAAAAGTGCTTCTGGGTAACGTGATTTGCTGGAAACATATACCTAGAGTACTGAGATTTTTCCATATTATACTTGTACACCACAGAATTTAGTGTATAACTAATTGTATGGAAAATATATGTTGATTCCCTGCCTGCCTAACAGTTGAAACTACCTCTAACTAAAAACGTATTCTTGATCTCTTAATCTCAAATTTGGCCTTAAAAGAATAACATTAATTAAGAAAAAAAATATAAATCAAACAAAAGGAAGAATCAGTAATATGGGAAAAGAAAGAGAAACAAGTGAAGATTATAAATATAAAAAAACTTAAGAATGCACAAAACAAATGAAGATCAACATAATAAAACTTAGCTGTATTTCTGTAAAGAGAAGAAAGGTCTGAAGTTCTGAAGAGATTTGTAACACAAATGCCAGATGCCACAGCATGATTGACATCAAAACTAGAAATTTAGGGCAGGAAATACACAAGCCAAACAAAGGAATTTTGTACTTCCAAGTTCTTCCCAAAAAAATGTAACCTATGAACTGTTTTAACTTTGGGAGTTGGATTTTTTCTGAGAAGCATTGCCACAAGAACTCTAAATACCATAGCATGTTAGAGTCAGGCTAATATTAGAGTATAGCTCTTGGTTTAAAAAAAGAAAAAAAAA